TGATTCAAAGGAAAGCAAAATCTTCAAACATTTTTCAGTTTATATAGTGAATGTTTGAATTTGTAAAGAAGAATACAAGTACTGCTATTTTTTGAACAGTCTAATCACTTTTCTTCATTTTTTTTTAGAGGAACAACACAAATGTGATACATTTTTCTTCATGTTTTGATTTGGAATAGAATGTGTAGTGTTCCCAATGCAGTTGTTTGTATGGAAATAAAAGCTATTAGAAGGATTTTGAGCTTTATTCACTTTTTTCAACACATTGCTATTATTTTTAACACAACTGTACATACAAAGAGACCAAAACAAATGCGTTCAGAAATTAAGTTATGTGTTATAAAATGGAATGACACAGGAAATGAGTATTGAACTGAAATTTATTTAATACTTCGTACAAAATCCTTTGTTGGTAATAGCAGCTTTAAGACTCCTCCTGTATGGAGATACTAGTCGCATGCATTGCTCAGGTGTGATTTTTGCACATTATTCAAATCTTGAGGGTTCCGTGGGCCTCTTCTATGAACTCTGATCTTTAGTTCTTTCCATAGATTTCCTATTGGATTCAAGTCAGGTGATAGGCTTGGGCATTCTAGCAGCTTTATTTTCTTTCTTTGAAACCAACTGAGAGTTTCCTTGGCCATATGTTTGGGACCATGGTCTTGCTGAAATGTTCACCCTCGTTTCATAGTCATCATCCTGGTAGATGGCAGCAGATTTTTATCAAGAATGTCTTGGTACACTTATTACAATAATATTTTTTACCATATATATATACAGTCAGGTCCATAAATATTGGGACATGGACACAATTCTAACATTTTTGGCTCTATACACCACCACAATGGATTGGAAATGAAACAAACAAGATGTGCTTTAACTTCAGACTGTCAGCTTTAATTTGAGGGTATTTACATCCAAATCAGGCGAACGGTGTAGGAATTACAACAGTTTGCATATGTGCCTCCCACTTGTTAAGGGACCAAAAGTAATGGGACAGAATAATAATCATAAATTAAACTTAACTTTAATACTTGGTTGCAAATCCTTTGCAGTCAATTACAGCCTGAAGTCTGGAACGCATAGACATCACTAGACGCTGGGTTTCATCCCTGGGGATGCTCTGCCAGGCCTCTACTGCAACTGTCTTCAGTTCCTGCTTGTTCTTGGGGCATTTTCCCTTCAGTTTTGTCTTCAGCAAGTGAAATGCATGCTCAATCGGATTCAGGTCAGGTGATTGACTTGGCCATTGCATAACATTCCACTTCTTTCCCTTAAAAAACTCTTTGGTTGCTTTTGCAGTATGCTTTGGGTCATTGTCCATCTGCACTGTGAAGCGGCGTCCAATGAGTTGTGAAGCATTTGGATGAATATGAGCAGATAATATTGCCCGAAACACTTCAGAATTCATCCTGCTGCTTTTGTCAGCAGTCACATCATCAATAAATACAAGAGAACCAGTTCCATTGGCAGCCATACATGCCCACGCCATGACACTACCACCACCATGCTTCACTGATGAGGTGGTATGCGACGGATCATGAGCAGTTCCTTTCCTTCTCCATACTCTTCTCTTCCCATCACTCTGGTACAAGTTGATCTTGGTCTCATCTGTCCATAGGATGTTGTTCCAGAACTGTGAAGGCTTTTTTAGATGTCGTTTGTCAAACTCTAATCTGGCCTTCCTGTTTTTGAGGCTCACCAATGGTTTACATCTTGTGGTGAACCCTCTGTATTCCCTCTGGTGAAGTCTTTTTCTTGATTGTTGACTTTGGCACACATACACCTACCTCCTGGAGAGTGTTCTTGATCTGGCCAACTGTTGTGAAGGGTGTTTTCTTCACCAGGGAAAGAATTCTTCGGACATCCACCACAGTTGTTTTCCGTGGTCTTCCGGGTCTTTTGGTGTTGCTGAGCTCACCGGTGCGTTCCTTCTTTTTAAGAATGTTCCAAACAGTTGTTTTGGCCACTCCTAATGTTTTTGCTATCTCTCTGATGGGTTTGTTTTGTTTTTTCAGCCTAATGATGGCTTGCTTCACTGATAGCGACAGCTCTTTGGATCTCATCTTGAGAGTTGACAGCAACAGATTCCAAATGCAAATAGCACACTTGAAATGAACTCTGGACCTTTTATCTGCTCATTGTAATTGGGATAATGAAGGAATAACACACACCTGGCCATGGAACAGCTGAGAAGCCAATTGTCCCATTACTTTTGGTCCCTTAGCAAGTGGGTGGCACATATGCAAACTGTTGTAATTCCTACACCGTTCACCTGATTTGGATGTAAATACCCTCAAATTAAAGCTGACAGTCTGCAGTTAAAGCACATCTTGTTTGTTTCATTTCAAATCCATTGTGGTGGTGTATAGAGCCAAAAATGTTAGAATTGTGTAGATGTCCCAATATTTATGGACCTGACTGTATATATATATATATACACACACACACAAAAAAAAAGTTAAATCTGCAGCATGCATGCATGGGTGCCAATATTTTTGACTAGGACTGTATATACATTCATATTTTACATACAGTGTTTTTCTAGTCAGTATATTTCAAAGTATTAATTAAGACACACGCAGATCCTTATCTGTGTACCTGTCGACTTAATTAATGTACCTAGTTTTCCCATGTTATATTCTATTTACTATAATCAGACAGTTTCAAATCTTATTTAATTTCTTGTCAAGGTAGATTTTTTGGTAGTGGTCAAGAGTTCAACTTAAATGAGTTCAACTTTAAATGTTGATTTTCTATATTATGAAAAAGTATGGTATACATTTCTTGAGACTAATAATATAAGGATAATGACAATATGAATACAAATAATAATTCTTATCAATGACACATAAGCATATTAATGTGAATAATATGAAATCCTTATATAATTGGCGCAGGAGATCTGGTACTAGAATTATTGCTCTTGCTATAAAGTTTATCGAGTTACCTTACATCAGGGCTTGACAGATTTGCTTTGAATCTAGGAGCCAGCTAAATAAGTTAGAAGCCAGTTTTTTTTTTTTTTTTTTTTTTTGACCAATGGCTTTATTTTCAATAACTGAGATGGCAGATCTTGAATTTACGCATGGAGGGGTCTGGGACGGCTTGTTGAGGCTGAGGTTTTTGATGTGTGTGTGGCATGCTGTGTGGGCTGAACTCTGCTCGCCTTTAGTGCCACATGTGAGGAGTAGTGGCGAGGGGGAGAGGTGGGCCACAGTATGCACAGATTGGCTGGTGTCGAGGGAGAGGGGAGTGAGGTAGAGGCTTTCTGCACAGTGGCGGTGGGTCTGCTGGGGGAGGGTGCGTGGGGGTACCAGTGTGTGGAGAGGAAGAGAGAAACTTTGGCTTTGATTCTGGTAAGCAGCAGAGCTAGATTTTTTTTTTGGATGTTTGAGCTGGATCAGCTGTCTGGCGCTTTGAGCTGCATGTTTGGGGCGTCGGGCAATGGGAGTTGCTCATGCCTGGTTCCAGTGGTGAGTGGGCTGGTGGGACGTGATTTTCCAGTTGCCATGGCAACCTGGGATTTGTTAAGTGCCGAACCCCCCCCCCCCCCCCCATATACCCTGGTTCCCCCTTCCTACACACTGGGTCTTGTTCTCCCTCCCCTTTCTATATGCACCCTGCCTCCCCTCCCCTAGTATACACACTGCCTCCCCTCTATAAAAGCCCCAGGTTTGGTAATCCCCCCTTTATATACAAAAGGTGTGGAAGCACACACACCTACACCTGTCCCAGATCCAGGTGACCATGCAGCCCAGGCACCTTCTCCACTCTGTCATCCACCAGAACACCTTCACTGCATTAGGATCCTACAATTAGTACTGCCAGTCCGCCTGCTCTGTCAGGCCGACGGGCCTCCAACTCACCCCTCGCTGACTCCTTCGCCTCCTTCACCGGGCAAACTCTGGGGGAGGAAGGCCACCTTGGTGGCAATGTGGCTCGGCCATGGCGGCCAGCAGAAGAGCTAACAGAGCTCCCCTAGAGAGAAGCTATTGATCTTCGGGCAGGAGGGGAGGTGATTGCGTCTGCCTGAGGAGAGGAGCCCGTCCACCCCCTAATTTGTCACTCACACCGGCTCTGGCAGCCGGACATCGGACTCCAGCACAGCTTACTGCCTTCTTCCAGGGAAACTAGAGACTAGCAGGGGGGAGATAGAGAAGGATTGGTTGCCCTGCACCCAGAGCTGCATGTCTAGGGCGTAGGGAAGAGGGAGTTGCAGGCAGTGAGTAAGCTGACTGGTGCCCAGGCGTCTTGGATTTTTCGAGCCCTGCCTTACTTACATGTATGTTCCAAACACTGTTTGCTATGTGGGCATGACTTATGTATGTGATTTCTTTTGCGCGCAAGCGTGGGGGAGGGGGCAGGGGCACTGTCAGGGATCCGGGTATGACCAGAAGTGTGTGGACTGACACAGGGAAATGCAGGCTTCAGGTATAGTAAATAATATAATTTATTAAGACTAACAATACAAACGCAGTGCAAAACTAAACATAAACACAGTGCAAACAAACTAAACCAAACCTCCAACAGATAACAAACATACAAGAGTAGTCAGGCAGGCCGGGTCGGTAGCAAACGGGCAAACGGAGTACCAGGAGCAGGCGGGAGAGTGGTCAGGACTAGCCGAGGTCAGTACAGGCAGAGTTCAAGCAGAGTCAGGACAGGAGTAACAGGATCAGGAAACCAGGGCCAAGCGAACAGTACAACAAGGCACTGACTGCAGGTCTGGCCATCCTTTAAATAAACCAAATGCAATAAGCCCAGGTGATGGCTAATTTCAGGAGTGAGCCTCTGGTTGTTGAGAGCACCCGCTGGCCAGCCCTGGTACTGCAGCCCACAAGGCAGGTGAGTCCCACCACTATTGGCAAGTCCATTCCTGACAGTACCCCCCCCCCCCCCCCTCAAGGAGCGGCCTCAGGACGCTCCAAACAGTCCTAGCTGGGCAAAATGTTCCACCGCCCGGGTCCAGTAACTGGCGGGATATCAAAGACTGGCACATCAGGCTGGGCACCGGACGGAGGCATATCGGGCTGGGCACCGGGCGGAGGCTCATGGGGCTGGGCACCGGACGAAGGCACATCTGGCTGGACACCGGACAGAGGCACATCAGGCTGGGTAGAGACAGGCTGAATTGCGGGCGCCGAGGCACCAGGCTGCACCACGGAAGGCGGGTTCTCAGATGGCAGGCTGATCGGTTTGGATACTGGCAGGATGGTACTGGTTGGAAAGAATTTTCGCCTTTTCCTGGTTTTAGTTACCGGAGCACTGTAAGTAAGCGCAGGTTTGTAAGTGGATAGAGCAGCTGAAGACAGAGAAGAGCTGGAGGATGGAACAGAGGAGGGAGCAGTTGCTACAGTGGACTTCTTTACAGGGTTAAAGGCAGGATAGGTGCAGCGAGTGGGAGCAGAGGACTGTTATCTGGTAGTTAGCAGAGTATACTGGGCCGTCACTGGGGGTGCTGTCGGGGATGCAGGAAGAGTGCCTTGAGCAGAGGAATGACATTGTAAGCTGACTGAGGCTGGGTGCAACAAGTCTGACCATGTCTGCAGTATGGGTTGAACAAAGCTCAGTTTACACAAAGCCTGTCTGGTCAAAGACTGCACTGCGTTTATACAATCCCTTAGTACCTGTTGTGAACATGCAGAATAATGCTCCAAGAAGCACTCCACATCATCCTCTAATAACCATACCAGGGACTCTACCTGGTCTGCACTAAATGGTGGCAAAAAGTCATTCCTGCTTTCAGGGGTACCAGATGAAGCCAACTCTGCACAAACCTGAATCAAAGGTTGCACCTCAGAATTCTATGCCCTGATCTACTAGAACATGAGCGACCCGTATACATTCTAGCAGTTGATCCCTGGTATACTCCTTCAGAGTCTGATACGCATACTCTCTATCATCAAAGACCAGCAGAGACAAATACACCACCTCATCAGGATGCATCCTTCCCAGCAACAAGCCAAGATGGCTTCCCTGTGCAGCCACTTCTGGTCAGGAATGGCCTTGTTGTAATGTCAGGGATCCGGGTATGACCAGAAGTGTGTGGACTGACACAGGGAAACGCAGGCTTCAGGTATAGTACATAATATAATTTATTAAGACTAACAATACAAACACAGTGCAAAACTAAACATAAACACAGTGCAAACAAACTAAACCAAACCTCCAACAGATAAACATACAAGAGTAGTCAGGCAGGCTGGGTTGGTAGCAAACGGAGTACCAGGAGCAGGCGGGAGAGTGGTCAGGACTAGCCAAGGTCAGTACAGGCAGAGTTCAAGCAGAGTCAAGACAGGAGTAACAGGATCTGGAAACCAGGGCCAATCGAACAGTACAACAAGGCACTGACTGCAGGTCTGGCCATCCTTTAAATCAGTGTTTCTCAACTCCAGTCCTCATGGACCCCCAACAGGTCATGTTTTCAGGATTTCCATTATTTTGCACAGGTGATTTGATCAGTTTCACTGCCTTAGTAATTACCACAGCTCTTTCACTCTGAGGGAAATCCTGAAAACATGACCTGTTGGGGGTCCATGAGGACTGGAGTTGAGAAAAACTGCTTTAAATACACCACCTGCAATCAGCCCAGGTGATGGCTAATTTCAGGAGTGAGCCTCTGGTTGTTGAGAGCACCCGCTGGCCAGCCCTGGTACTGCAGCCCACAAGGCAGATGAGTCCCACCACTATTGGCAAGTCCATTCCTGACAGGCACGGTCTCTTTACATTTTTTCATAACTTTTATTTTTATCAGAAGGGATGAACAACATCCCTTGTGATAGTATGGGCAGTCATAGGTTCTCTTTAATGAAACATCTGGGGTCTCCTGTGCCCCAAAATTACTGATCAAACCGTGATCGGTTTGATCAGATGCTTTCCCAAACCAGTTATGGCTTCTTTACATCTGGGCGAAACTGGCAGCGGCTTCCATTTTTTTACACCATAGAGATGGTCAAAAAACTTCTGGTCTTCGGTCATCTCTCTCCTGGGTTCAATGCTGGAGCATGGAGATGGAGGTGTGGGGTTTAATCACCTAGCACCACATGTAAACGTGATCCAGCGGTTATTTAGTGCTAGTATTGTTTTACATGAAAGAGCAACGGGTCTGTTCGGAATGGTTAGAGTCTAAAATTCCAGTTTCTTGTGCATCCATTTTTTTTCAATTGTAATACTAGCAATGTGTTGTTTGCTAATTAGGCTAATAGAATTACTGCACAATTCGCTTTTATGGGTTGAACTTACAGAGCACTGACCACTCAAAATGTCACTCTTGTGGATTTTTTTCAGCACTAAGATTTATTGGTCTTTTTCTAGGTGTTTCTGGGAAAACTATCCAGCTGTTGACCAACCATGTGAAATTGAATTACCAGCCTAAGTGGTTATTGTATCAATATCATGTTGACTACAGTCCACAGATGGAATCAAGATCTTTGAGAGCAGCTTTGTTGTATCAGCATGATGATTTGATTGGAAAAGCCCATGCTTTTGATGGAACAATATTGTTCTTACCCAAACAACTGCATAAGGTAAGTTAATTCAAAAATATTCCTGTTGTAATCAAGGTTTATTAAATACATGAGTTTAATTTGTTTCCCCATGATTCCCAAATTCAGAAAGTTAGAAAATTACTTTGACTGTCTGGTAGTGTTGTAAATGATGGTGTTCAGTGTTTATATGACTTCTATTGTTTAAGGCTAGTCTTAAAAAGAGAGTGTGTGTGTGTGGGGGGCTCAAAGAAGAACAGCTCTACAATACATGCATCTTTTGCTTTGTTTTGTGTTTTTTAAAATGCTTCCTGTAGTGAGTTGATAACATTTCCTCTGCTGTACTGAAAACCTATGGAGTATTGTTGTCAACTCGGCTTGACTGAAAACAAAACCCTCTCCTTATCCCTATTACTTTTGAGGGTGGGGATTTGTAGTCCCACAAAGAAGAACTGCGTGCGTCCTTGAGAATTAAGTGCAGCAATGGCCATGTTGTCGACTTGCTACAGGAAATTAGGACCTCACTGGATTACTGGCTGATCAACTGGTATTTTCTGGTTGTACAGTAGACAGCACAGGTTTCTTCAAATCTTGTGTTGTATGTATCTACCTTCAGGTTCTTGGACACTACTGAGAAAAACTTACCTTGTTCTGTAAGGATTTTCTCTCTGCGGATGATTCTTTTATCGCCTGGCTGCACTATAGTACTCAGTCCTGCAGAATTGTGTCTGACTAATACAGGAGGTGTATTACTGGCCACAGATCACTGGGTGAAAGCTCAGGGGAAGAAAGCCAAAGAAAAGAAAACTGATGCAGCCACCACATCTAAAAATTAGTAAGCTGCAATATAATGCACTTTTGCTTTTGGGTTTAATACCGCTTTATACATATTTTTTTTAAACCAGATTTTAGTGCCACTTTAACTGCTTGCCTGCCGCCCTATTGCAGAAACACTGCTGCAGGGCTGCGCACAATCATTTATATATACTTAATTTTGCATTTCTGGGTAGGGGGTAGTATATAATTGATGGGGGAGAGTGTGTGTATATGAACAATACAGATCCCTCCCCCGTCAGCTCCAACAGGCTGCTTTGTATTGCTATGCATAGCAGAGCAATACAAAACAGCATGTCTCCATAGTAAAAACACACACAGCATACAGAAAAACACACACATAGCATACAGAAAAACACACACAGCACTAAGTTAACCCTTTGATCACCCCCAGATGTTAACCCCTTCCTTCCCAGTGTCATTAGTAGTGTCAGTGCTTTTTATTAGCACTGATTACTGTATAATGTCACTGAGTATGTCAGTAACAGTCAGTCGGTTCCCCCCAGTGTGAGAATGGCCACCGCAGTCCCGCCATTACTAGTAATTTAAAAAAAAAATACAGTATTTATACCGCCATTTGTATAACTTTCCCGTAAACCAATTAATTTACATGTATTGGGATTTTGTTTTGCAATGACATGTAGCAGAATAAATATTTTCCTAAATATATGACGAAATTAGATTTTTTTAAATTTTTTTACTGGACATGTTTAATAGTAAAAAATATTGTTTTTTTCCTTAAAATTGTTGGTCTTTATTTTGTTTATAGCGCAAAAAATAACCGCAGAGGTGATCAGATACCACAGAAAGAAAGCTCCATTTGTGGGAAAAAAAGTACATTAATTTCATTTGGGTGCAGTGTTGCGTGGCCATGCAATTGTCAGTTAAAATAACGCAGCGACGTATTGCAAAAAATGGACTGGTCAGAAAGGAGTGTAAATCCTCAGGAGGGGAAGTGGTTAACCAACATTTTCACCCCTTCCCTCCCAAGCCAATTTTCAGCTTTCAGTACTCTCACACTTTGAATGACAATTACTAAGTTCTGCAACAATGTACCTAAATGCAAGTTATATAATTTTTTTTAGTCAAATAGAACTTTTTTTTTTTTTTTAGTAGTATTTAATTACCTCTGGGTTTTTAATAGTTTTTTCTATCTAAGCGAAAGAATACTGAAAATATTGAAAAGCCCCCCACATTTTTCTTAGTTTCTGTTATAAAATTTTGAAAATCTTCCTTCATAAATTTGGGCCAAAATGTATTCTGCTACTTTTTTTGGTACAGATCGCCCAAATCAATGTACAGTAAAACTTAGACTGCGAGCATATTTCGCTCCGGAAACATGCTTGTAATCCTAAGCACTCGTATATCAAAGCAAATTTCCCCATAATAATTGAAACTCAGGTGATTTTTTCCACAACATTTATACATTGAAAAAAATGATTACAGTAATTCAAAATACTGTACAGTGTAAAGTAAAAATAAAACAAATTAACACTTTACCCTTGAAAAGATATGTGGCTGGTTGAGGGGAACAAAAGAGGTGAGGACGAGGGTTATTGTGTAGGACATCTATCACTTATTGGATCTCTGCTATCTGTTGGCTCGCTGGAAACTTTTTCTTTTTGTGCGACTTTAACCAGGGACCTATCCTGTGACACTTGATTTTGTCTCCTTTTGAGGATTTGGTGGAACTGTGACATTGCATTGTCGTTAAACAGATTTATCGTTCGCACTGCTACAGCCTTATTTGGGTGGTGCTTTTCTACAAATTTTGCACTGTTTCCTACATTTTGCACATCTCCCTAATCTCATTTGAAGTGAGGGATTCCTCTGCCTTTTTATCCTCCTCTTTAGACGAGATCTTCTCCATAACCTCTTTCTGTTGCTCTTGATGCAGATCCATCAGTTCGTCATCAGATCCATCAGACGTACATTCTACTCATATTGCAAGACATTATCAAGTTAAAATTTATAAAAAAGTTTTGCTCGTGTTGCAAAACATTCTCAGACCAAGTTACTCGCAATCCAAGGTTTTACTGTATAATATTTAGTCTGTGCGTTTTATAGAGTCCAAAAACTATGGTATATAC